TTTTTGACAGTCAAAGGTTACTTAAAAAGTGAGGCACCCATCTGTGCCAAATTTTAAGGGAGGGGGATGATGAAGATGTGATCACTATGGATATTGTTTATATTTTATCCTTAGAAGACTCATGGCCAGGTGCATACAAGATTCAGAAAAGTCGGGGGGAAATAACAAAATTAAAGAAAGGGGTTATTGAAATTTTTTTGGCATTAAAAGTTAAATTTTTGTGTAAGACGGGGGAGGGGAAAAGGTTTTTTTGGGGGGCACAAAAATTTTATTTTATTACAATGTTTTTACTGCATTGTTTTTCCCCTTGCCTTGGCACTATGTATATGTTTGTATGGTCACTTTTGTAATACATATTTTGTATTCTTTACTCCTCTTTTAACTGTTACTGTCTTCAATTTTTTTTTTTATCTTTAAATTTATGTCTGCCCCTCCCTTAAATCCTCTAAATTTATCCCATCCCTTGGCATTTTGACTCCTAAAAACTGTATTAAAAATGTTACCCCTAGATTTACAAAACATTTTCAAAGAAATATAAAAGAAAAATTATATAAAGGGAAGCATAAAAGGGGTTTGGGGGGGGAGGGGGAGAGGAAAGGCCCCGACACCCAAAGTTAAAGGTTAAAAAATTTGAAAAAGTCTGCCCATTGCTTATTTTGTAAACAGTTGCCCTTTTGGGTTTTGCTATGAAACAGAGTATACATTTTATCATCATAAATATAACTAAACATTAGACTTATGGCCTTCTTTAGAAAAATTTTAAAAAAAAAAAAGCCTGGTGAAAATTTGAACAACCCAGATACAAGGGAAGGGGGAGACGAGAACTGGGGTACAAGTGAAAGATTAATTGAACTTATCCCCCCTTACATTATGAAATAGTAAGAATTTTTTTCGAAGGAAAAAAACAGTAAGTACAAAATTTTGATAAAAACTGATGAAATTATTTTTTGGCTTTTTTTTGCTGTGTCAGAAATTTTTTGCTTGGTTTTGATTTCATCCATTTTGGGTTGATTTTGGGCCCAATTTCATTTTTCCCCAAGTTGCCAAATTTTGTTTTTCCTAGTATCCTTCATTTATTGATTGAGACTACAAAAAACCCCCCCTATCCACTATTTAAATTACCCAATAAAGTGATCAAATTTGAAAATTGTCTAGTTTCCAAAAATTCAAAAAATCCCAAATTTTCAAAATATGGTCCAAAAAAAGCGGGGCAACATTCCTGGCACAAAAAAATAACATTTTCTTGTTCTTTTGTCAAGTCTTAGGCCCCCCCTTATATTATTTTTTTTTCCATTTTTGGAATTTTAATTCACAAAAAAAATGGAAGATTTATTTTATGCAGACTTCGCATTATTGTAATAATTTATAAATAAGTCATGCATTCCTAAATGTGTATTAGACTGGCCATTTGGGCTCGTATTTACAAGTGACCATTTGTGTACCTGGAATTTTGGAAAAAAATAGAACATTTCCACACTTTGAGCTCAATTTCAACTACTTTCAGTCCTGAAACCAACCAAAAAACATCTTATTTCTGTAACATTCTTAAATGAACCAACAAACTGAGAATATAACCAAAAAAAACCATAGAAAATACACCGCAAAGTCGTGTTTTAAACCAATAACGGGGTCGCATTTTTTTTTTCATCATTGTGTGTTACAGGTTTTTTTTATATGGTGCACACTTACTGCACTGACCCATTCTCTCCATATCTAGTCCCAAATTTACCACTGCAGCTTATTGATGGCTAGTCACGGTGCTGTACTCTGGGGCCAGCTTTTAAAGCCATGTTTTCAGCGGGAGACCCTGAAAGGTTAATAGAGTGAAATATCCTAAAAATCAGTGATACACAAGGGGCAAGGTGGGTCAAAGGAATGGATACAGAGTGAAAATGAAAGATTAGATGCACTTTTCACTTTTGGGGCTGTTGAATACTTGTTAACATATTGAAACAGTGAGCTATTTAAATGATAGTGAAATATCCCAAAAAACATGTGAATCATTTTTTTCTCATTGCCCTTTAAAAAATACAAAATTTATTTTTCTATATTCTTGTATTTACAGAGAAAAAGGAAAAAAAAAAAAAAAAATACAAGGGCAAGTATTTAAAGGCACTGCGTCAATACAGAAAGTACCTTTAATCAGATCATTTCTATATCTGATTTTAGGGGAAAGCTTTCACTTAGGTCTTGAGTCTAAAAAATTTTCTTTCATTTATCATATATACCCATTAGGTGTGCAGGCATGTTTTATATTTGGTTTGTGGGTTTATCCAGTCTACAATATTTTACACTTTTAAAAAAGGACCTTAATTAGTATTAATACAAAAATAGAGAATAATTTTTCAGTTTTGAATATACATATATGCAATATATTATTAAAACTATTTTTAAAATGATAGTTAAAGTTGCTTTTTTTTTAATATAAAAGCTCAAGTGATGGCAAAATTTTTTGTGAACAGTGTAGTGCATTTATGGGAAGTAATGAAACCCTTTAATATTAGTTTTTTGATTAAATTAAAAGTTTTATAAGCCTAGAATGTATCAATTTTTTCTTAAAAATTTTTTTGTTGACACATGAAAGGGATAAGTTTGCAGTGCGCTGAAAAAACAACCCGAACTGTTTGAAAAGATTTTGATGACATTTTTTCCATCTTAAAGGGCTGTGTTTTCCAATCAAAAAGTTAAATTTTTCAAAGATTTTTTGTTTTTATATCCCTTTTTCTACTTGCTGTGAAGTTTAAAATTAAAAACTGTAATTTGAAAGAAAAAGCTTATCTTTTTTTGAGTAGTTAAAAAAAAAACCCCAATACCATGAATGCACATGCGATGATATACCGAGACGATTTTGGGAGTCTTCTGTGGTCTGGCCTCAGATCAACTTCCTATTGGCCGCCTATGCACCAGACTGTTGCTTCCCCAGACCTTTAAAATCAGAAAACCCTTTATAAACTGGGGGATTTGGCACTTTTACAAAACTTTTCCATTTTTTCCCCTTGAAGATACTGGACGACGATTTTGGCAAATTATTTTTTATTTGTTCATTGAGTCTCTTCTATATTTGCTTCTGTATTCACATCTATAATCTTTAAAACAGGTGTAGATTAGGGAGCCCTAGACAATAAAACCCCGCCTTGCGCCCAGGAACAATGAAAACAGATATTTTTGGGCACAACCAGGCTGGAAAAACCTTCAATGAAGTGACTTGGTCTGCTTTTATTAATTAAGATTGACCAATCCATGTGACACGTCTGCTGCACTAATAGGTTTTGCAACACCTCCTTGCAGGGGTTTGTGAGGGTTTTCGTTTTTTCCGATTGTTTTATACAGGTCCCTTTTGATCAAGTGGGAAAAATTTTTGGGTCTAAAATGTAAAAACAAAGATCAAAATTTTCGTAGCTTAGAGGTTACACAGTAGAATTAAAAGTGTAGTCATGCCACCGCCTCAAAATATAGCATCGTTTTTTTTTCTTTGATATTATCTTCCTCTTTAAAATTATGTTAAATATGGGAAAACAAAAAAGAAAACTCACATGGCCCATGTTTGAACTAAGACTCAGAAATTTTGAGAGTGTATTAAACCCTTTCCCAGGAATCAGAGAGTACACTCACTGAGCCTGGCTGATTGAATGATGTAATATAAATTTATTAAAAATCTTACATTCACTAAAAAGTTTTGCCCCTTTAATATATCCCTTTAAGGTCATTTCGGGGAAAAGTAACTTTGTTGATGAGAATGCTTAATTTTTCTTGTAATCAAGTTCATCAAATACCCCTTTAATATTTTTATATCAAAACTCTTAATTCAGTTATGTTTAAAAGTTTAAAACCCATTAGGTACAAAATTCCTTCATCGTTATTTTAGGAATCGATGTGTATCGCTGTCTGGATGGGGGCTTCTTAGGCGTGTACGTTATTGGAGCACTGGACTGTCTAAAAATGTACTCTCCAAGATTCTTACACAGTGCTGTTATTGCTGGAGCATCAAGCAGGACCCTTTGCTTGGAGCATCAGTGGTGTGTGATGTGCCTCTTAAAGGTGTTAGGAATGGCTTTCTCCCTCTAGCAGTTGAGGCTCGCAAATGGAAAATGGGAGTCTTTACCCAGGTTTTAAATTTGAAGATTATTTGAATGCAGGACTGGAGTCATTACCCTCAGATGCTCACATCAGAGCAAGTGGCAGACTTTATGTGTCAGTTACTCGGGTTCACGACATGTCTAATGTGATATTCTCAGAGTGGGAGTCTCGGGACGATCTTATTCAGACTCTGCGATGCTCATGCTTCATCTTGGGCTTCTCTGGAATACACCCACCCAAATTATATGGTGAAAGATACATGGATGGTGGTTATACTAACAAACAACCAGTAGTTGGTTCTAATAATATTTCTATTAGTCCCTATAGTGGATATGCAGATATATCTCCTAAAGAACACCACAGTTTAGGACAGCTGAAGTGGGCAAACCATGGCATGAATCTCTCTTATGCTAATGTAGTACGCCTGTATAGAACTCTAATGCCTCCACCTCCATATGTACTTAATCAATATTATCATTATGGGTATACAGATACTTTGCACTTTCTAAGGAAGTTTCGGAAGCTCAGACGCCAAAGATGAATACCATATGATAACCTTGTAATTTATTTTAATTCTTTACTGTGAATTACATACAAATTTTGAACACTCAACAGCCAATAAAGTTCTTTCATTTTTTTCCATTTAAAGGTCATAGCCCTGTAACTTGGAAAACATGTTTATTGAATGCAAGGAATCCATGTAGTACGTATATAAATTTTATTAGCATAATAAAAAGGAATTTTTTTTTTTACTTACTGTAATACATATAGATGACAATGTTAAAAAGACTGAAAGCAGAAACTTAAACTGAAGGCTGTTGGTATATTTTAGGGGAGTTTGTGTGTCGCTGTCTGGCTCTGGCTTCTTGGGCATTTACGAACTTGGTGCTGCTACATGTCTGCATCATCACTGGCCAGGTCTTTTTGAGAGGGCAAATATGGCTGGAGCATCTGCTGGTGCTCTTCTGGCAGCTTGTTTGGTGTGCAGTGTGCCAGTAGAAATTATAAAGTCTGGCTTCTTTGAAACAGCAGCTCATGCTCAAAAATGGGCAATGGGTCCCTTTAACCCCAACTTTAATATTGAAGACTACTTAAGATTAGCCTTAGAAGCTTTACCTCCTGATGCTCATACCAGAGCCAGTGGTAGACTGTTTGTATCAATCACTAAGGTTACCAATAAGGAAAATGTATTGGTGTCCAATTGGGAATCAAGAGAGGAGCTCATTCAGTGTCTCCTGTGTTCATGCTTCATCCCACTTTATTCGGGTTTTAAATTCCCACTCTTCCGGGGAACCAAATACATAGATGGATGTTTTACCAATAACCTTCCCGTGATCCAGCAGCCAGCCATCACTATAAGCCCATTTGACAGCTTAACAGACATTTGTCCAAAAAGTAATTCAAAAAGACCAGTGTATGTAAATATTTCTAATGAACATTGGCTTTAACATTAGCCAACGTAGTGAGATTGGTCCAAGCCTGTTACCCCCACCAGCGGAGGTTTTGGAGAGCTTGTATCTTATGGGTTACAGGGTTTCGTATTATTTTCTTAAAAGAAATGTTCATTCATTAGGCGTGGTAAACAGCTGTATCCTTGATAACCCCTACTAAACATTTAAATTTATTTTATTTTTTAATTTGCAAAACCTGCAAAATTGGAATATATTTTAAAACATTTATAAATTTATGTTAACTGATATTTGCTCAGTTACTTAGTGCAGCATAATTTATGTATGAAAATAAACCACAATAGTAGGCTAGTAATCTGAGAATTCATGAATTTTGATTACTGTGTTTAGTAAAATTGGTGAGCAGTGTGTTTTGAAATTAGGGTCAACATCAACTTTGAGTGCTTTCTCAGATACCTGGACATACATAGAACTGGATTCCTTTTAGTCACAAAGAATCTGATAATGGACCTCATAACCACATGGTTTTAATCTTAACAAGCTTTCAATGGTGGAAAATTTTAAGAAATTAGATTCTTTCTAGTTTATAATTTACCACTAGAATTTCATGCAGACCAGTTGTGTCTGGTCATGGAGATAGATAAATATCCTGAACAGAAATTAACACTATACTGTACTTTCTCAAAGTGAAGAACTCGTGTATTAATTTCTAAAGACAAAATAATGTGCACAATATTGTTACTATAGGTATTTATAAACTACTCTATGATGTCAATAGAGAAGTGTGTGTGAAGTTATGTAAGGATAGGAATGTTTGGAGGAGAGTGCATATGCCATCCTCCTTGTTAATAAGAGTTATTATTTATTTCATAGGGAAGGACTAACACATTAGGGGTTATATAGCTTGTTTAATAGGAAATTGCATACAGTATATACTGTTAATACTCATGTAAACAAACTAAGGCAATTGAAGTTCTGCTCAATAAACAGATCTAGTCAACTTTTTTGTGTTAGTGTGTGTGGAACAGACAGTATATGTATTTGCACACTTTTCTAAGTGCTAACGTGGCCAAATGAGTAGTTTTTTTTAGTCAGAATCAACTGCTCCAGGTCAAGTTTCTTCACCAAAAAAGGTCGTATAGTACCGTATTCTGTTTGGCTGAATAGTTGATGAAAGTGTCTATATGCCATAGTAAATGTAAAATGTTGATTTTTTTTAGAAACTCATCAATGAGTGTGAATGAAACAGGCTAGCTGTTGCAATACTCACTGCCACTTGCCTTTGTGTTTCTTTACTAGCCAAAAAATTCA